CACTTTACAGTTGCGTAGTCGCCTAAGTAATCATCAAGAACAAGCGAGTTTCATTCTAAAGAAGATATTTAATATTGTGAGCCAGTGTACTTTACTCATTTTCAAACAGTCCAACTCGTGCTTAAATTATAGGAGAAAGAAAAACTAAAAAAACTGTACTTAAATATGAGTCAATTTAAATTTCACTTCTTGACAAAACTGTAAAGCCTTGACTCACACTGTGAATTATATTCCTCGGTGGGATGGGCCTTCTTTTGTACAACCAGAGGGTTTGGACACGGGTGCACTTTTTGTTTATTAGCTTGGTCCTGCTGGCCTCTTACAAGTTACATCCTGCCATTTATCCACACAAGAGATGTTGGTTCATATGGTTTGCGATCAAAATGATCGTTTGTTGTTCTCTGTTCCCTTTGCCCGCACAGGAACCTGGGAAAAATAACTTTGTTTATTGTTACGATCCCAGCTCTTAGGCCGTAACATAACAAAGGGAAGAGGACAACGGCAATGTTCAGAAATCCCTCGTAGTGAGGCCATTTATTGCTATAATATCAGATTCAGAATCTTTTTATGGCCACGTAGTACACAGGAAGTCCCCAGACTTGGAAATTGATTCGGCTCAGTGACATGTCAGAGAGATATAATAAAAAATAAAAATAAAGAATAAAAACACTTCTAAGGAATACATTTAACTTTAGAATAGAGTTAACGTTACTAATTTCCATTATACAAGTTTGGCCAAAAAAACATGTGCACACGATGTAAGGTGACAGCAGTACACGTGAAGTAAAGTGAGTATGTGGCAGTTAAGTGACTTTATAAAGGGCGGGGGGACAGGTTATGAAGTGTTAAGAGTCCAACAGCTAGAGGGGACAGAAAACTGTTTGTGAGGGAGGTTATAGTTCTGATGGCGCAGTCTCTGCCTAAGGGGAGTGGTTGGAATAGTCCATGTGCAGGTGAGGAGGGGTCGGCTGTGATCCGACAGCCGGCCTCGAGATCGGGGACAGTACAGTCCTAGCAGCGATGAAGGCGGCGGACATTCACTTCCTCTGCCGAGCGCACAATGCGCTGTAGTCTCTGTTTGTCCCTGAATGTGGCTCCAGCGAACCACGGTGACGGAGGAGGTGAGGATGGACTCGATGATGGCCGTGTAGAACTGCACCAAACATCTGTGCAGGCAGCTCTGGCTTTCCTGAGCTGCTGCAGGAAGTACATCCTTGCTGGGCCTTCTTGATGAGGGAGCTGATGGTCAGCTCCCACTTGAGGGGGCTCCAGGGGATGGTGGTGCCAGGAAACGGAAGGGGAGAGTCCATCACGGAAGGTGGGGGCGGGGGGGACAGTGCTCTTCCTGAAGTCACAATCATCTCAACTGTCTTTGGGCGTTCCAGCTCCAGGTTGTTACCACTTCACCAGGACACCAGCCGGTCCCTCCTCCTGTAGGCGGATACTCATCGTTCCTTGGTGATGAGTCCAATGAGGGAGGTGTCACTCACGCGTAACTTGAGCAGCTTCACAGAGTCGAGGATGGAGGGTGCAGGGTGTGTACAGGGAAAGAGCATGGGAGAAAGAACACAGCCCTGTGGGCTTCCTGTATTTTTAATCGAGAGGTCCGAGACATTCTTCCCCAGACCGCACTCGCTGCTCCTGTTGTCAGGAACGTCAGTGATCCACCGGCAGGTGGAAACGGGCACGTTGTGCTGGGAGAGCTTGTCCTGGTCGCAGGGATGGCAGGTTCGTGTTGAAGGCAGAGCTAAGTCCACGAACAGGACCCTGGGTAGGTCCCCGGGGAGTTCCAAGTGCTGTGGATGTGGTGGAGGGCCAGGTGATGGCGTTGTCTAAGATCTGTTGGCTCTATAGGCGAACTGCTGGGTGTCAGGAGGGGGGAGGTGAGGGACGTGGGTTGGGAGAGGACCAGGCGTTCAAATGACTTCATGACGACAGACGTAAGTGATCCAGTCTGTAGTATTGAGTCCTGTGATACCTGGGCTTCTTCGGGACGGGGGCAATGATGGAGGATTTGAAGCAGGCCGGGACATGGAGGACTGCAGAGAGGAGTTGAAAATGTCGTGAACATCAGGAGTAGCTCACTCGCGCAGTGTCTCAGAGTGGCTGGGACACTTGGTCCGGGCAGGAGCTTTGCGGGGGTTGCAGCCTCAAGAAGAGTTGTTTAATATCTCTGTGCCGGGACTGTGCTTTCAGTTCGGTCCCTGAACTGATATTTAGCTGCTTTGTAGCCGCTGCGGTCCCCCTCCCTGAACGCCGATCAAGTAAAAGGCTCCAGCCACCTTACCAGGGCATCTTAGACGTCTATACGGACAGGGGACATAGGCTCTCCACCGTGCTGTCCCGGTGTGGTTAGCACGGTGGGTGGTGTGGCTCCTTCCTCTGCCAGGTTATTCCTGCATGCTGGACACGCCACCTGCTAAGTGATAGGCTAGAGGAAGAAGGGATGAACGCCCCTTACAGCATAGATTTGCATTCGATTTAACTGAACTTGAATCTGACATTGAAAATGTTCCAAAAGTTGACATGACACAACTGTCGTCCTCTTCGCGCTTCGGCATCATGATCAAATAGTTTTGTTCAGATGTTTTTTCAAGAACGTAACCTTATTAATTTTGCTTGTAAGTTGATGGTATATTGGACATAAAGCCATCACTTGCTCACCAGACTTGAAAGGAGTGGAGTCTAAGGACAACTGACCAAATGGCGACTATTTTTGGCTATGGTTTACACCAGTTACCCCCGGCATAAAGACGTTGCTAAACCGTTACCGTGAATCACGTATTTTCAGGCGGGTTCAGACTCTTTCAACTCAGCAGCCACTAGGCTTGCTTGGACAACCCTGGTACTTCAAGTGACCTCCTCGCTGCCAACATCATCCAAGGGCAGCCCTCTCCAGCCCTTACCTATCTCTATACAGATAAGTATAGAGATCGGTAACTCCGCTTGGGAGTGCTTCAACTAAGTATTTCACGACCTAATGAAAAACAATGAGAGTTCAAGGTTTGGTCCCCGTCCAAATGAACCACTTCCGGTCTCCCAAAAACCGAGATGAACTGTGCATTTCCTGCACACCGCGTTAGCTGTTACAGAAAGCCAGGATACACAAACAGGATAGCTCTGCTTTGACAACCGTCGTAATCTGTAATTGTCGTGACTTTTATTTAGATCCTTGTAAAGAGGTCCTTACATTCATGGGACTTTCCTGGTAATAAATGGTAAAAAAAATAATAATATATATATATATATATATATAATATATGTTTATTTGGGATGTCAAATTATCGCGTTAATGCACGTTTAATTACGTTTTCATTAACGCGTAAAAAATAATTAACGCAATTAACTGCCATGGACGTGTCAACTTTGTTGGTTGTACCCAAAGTAGAAGGTTGTGAGCAAGTCATACAGACCTTATAGCAGAGGCTCGGGGACCTGGTCCAGAAATCTAGGGACTCAAGAGCCAATGGAGAGTCAGGAACAAAATTCCAAATGTAGTGAACGGAAAACCATAGAGAGGGCGCCCACACAGACGGTTTAGGCTCAAATGTGAGTTTTAACTAATTTGGAATAAATGTCAAAAAATCTATGGCAGGGACATGTAGGAGCACTATAGGAAACATATTTAGGCAGTGTATAGTAAAAAAAAGTTGTTTTGTGGTGTTTAGTTACTCTTTCAAGTACATTTGTATTGTATAAATATGTGTCATTACATTTGAAAATTCTCATTTAACTTCAATTGGAGTGGATTTTGAAATAGAAAGTTAATAAAATGCCCGATTATCGAGAGTTAACTTCCACCATTAAATATTGCGATTATATAATAACAAATTAACGTTTGACAGCCCTAATATATATATATATATATTATATATTATTATATTTATAATATATATATATATTTATTTTTTCATTTTGGCCATACAATAGAGGGAGCCCCGCGTACCTGTGATTTACGCGTACACACTTTTGCGGAATCACTGACAAACTACGTCAATACAGGACAGCCGACTGACAGTACATACAGGGACCAAAAGTTAGGATGCTTTGGTCATGCAATGAGTTGTCGAGTCACTCTCAGCTGTGGTATGGGTCTGTTGACAGGCTCCCAGTCACCAGACTGTGGAGGCAATCCAGATGGTTTTTGATGAGTGGGGACCACAGAGTGAAGGTGAAAGGGCCACAAATGCTAAGCTCTCAGGGATTCTCCTTCAAGACGTTGGAAGACCTTTGTCACTCACTACCTCTTGAAGCTCATCAAGAGAATGCCAGAGTGTGCGAGCAGTAATCAGAGCAAAAGGTCTACTTTGAAGAACTTAGAACTTATAAGACATATTTTCAGTTGTTTCATACTTTTTTATTAAGTACATACTAATTCCACATGCGTTAATACATAGTGTAGTTGCCTTCAGTGTGAATCTACAATTTTCATAGTGAATCATGCACTATGAAATAAAAAACAAATCTTTGAATGAGAAGTGTGTCAAACTTTATTTTATTAAAGTTGTCAAACGGTTTCATTATTACTTCTCACCTTCAGATGGACGGAGGAGAAACGTATATGTTATTACACTTTAGATCTACCCACCATTATCAAGCTATACAAAGTCTTTAGCATATAGCTTAAACATACATGTTAAAAAAAAAACATAAAATGTTGTATTTTTATATTTTATTTTCATTTTTTTAGTGTGTGTATGTATGTAACATCTCTGTATTGCATTCTCTTCAAAAGATTTAATTTGTCCAACACATTGATTAAAACATTGTACTTAAATAAAGTGTTGTGCGACACCGTCCCTTATCCGAACCAAAAACAAACTACAGACAAACAATGCAGAATCAAGCTACAAAATCATTTTCTACATTTATTGAGAAGTAAAATTATAATTCTTTTTGTAAAGCTTATTTATATTCTTACCTTAAATAATTTTCCACTGGTTACCAGAACGGAGGTGCCAGTTTCCCAGTGCACTCCACATCAGCAGAAGCATCACTTACTACCCCTCACAGACAAGGCCCATCCCCCCAGCCACCTGTGCTCCCAAAGAGGGCACCAAGGAGAGCGCCAACCCACACCCTGCATCAAGCAGCAGACAGGCAACATGGACTTTATGACCGTCCGGACCAGGGCAGTCAGGGTGAGCACTGAGTCACAGAGCACCAGCCGGGTCATGTCCAAAGTGAAGCAGGACTGACAAATGAGGTGGTTTGACGATGGACTTGTAAACAATGAGGGGAATGACTCAAGGAGTTTCTGTTGGATTTTTTGTATTCTTAAAGTCTAACAAGATCCCAATAAAAGTGATCCTCAATAAATAATAAACTAAATATTCCAACTTTGAAACCACAAAAATTTATAACACCATAGATATTAGTTTCTCTCTTCAAAACTCTTTATTCTTGATTGTTTACACATGTAAGTATTTTTGGCCTCTTTCACAACTTGAAATTAGCTTTTCAGTGAACAAAGAGAGTACTCTCTAAGCCAACAGCTCTCAGTATGTAAAAGACGGCATTGTTTTCTATAGATGAGACAGCATGTTGTGTTCTGATTTGTCACAAAATGTTACTTAAAACAAGAATGATTGGACATACGAATAAAGGTTTTGGGGGCAAAAGAAGAAATAGAGAAAACACAATAAATATGTTGCCTTTATGTTTTGTGTGGCAGAATGCAGGGAAGCGCAGCATCAGCAGATCGGCGCTCCAGCCCCCAAACCCCAGCCTCCCCCTGTGGCACCGCGCTGCAGAGCTCTGTACCAAGTACATTGGTCAGGACACGATGTGATCAGCTTCGAAGTCAATGACGTCTTTGAATGCTCACGAGGTAAGTAGGTTTGACTACCATGGATTGAAAATCATTTTCATTTAAAGGGGTTCTCACCCCGCTCCTCGGAGCTTACGTCCACTCACTATTTCCTGTTCAAATCTGCCTCTAAAGGGCGTTGCCGGAGGACTAAAGGGGGCGTGAACGAGCCTGGGCGTTTACTTTGCTCTGGGCGGGGGCGGCTTGAGCGTAGGTCCATACTTCGGTGCCAGTGTTGCGCCAGATTCAAATATTCATAATGTAGTATACAGGTCGCAGCAGATGGCGCCGCACAGGACGGTTTTAGGCTGAAAGGTCTATGATCTATCTCTCTCTTGTCCCTCTCCCCTCCTGTCATTGCTTTGTGTCGTTTGTGGGTTTCGATGTTCTGTCGGTGTTATGTTGCTGTGGCACATTTGGTTTTGGGTTGGTTTGTTATTGAGGTGTTTCACTGTTTTGGTGTTTGTTTACCTTTGGGGAGGTCTTATATACGCGGATTGCTGCTTTTGTTCTTTTGTTTTGTTGTTGTTGTTGAGAGAGATCGTCCGACTTTCTGCCTAAAACCGGTCTGTGAGGGCATCTGCTGGCGACCTGTATTACTACATTTGATGTGAATTGCGCAACACTGGCACAGAAGTTGGGACCGCGTCAGCCGCCCCGCCCCAGAGCAATGGAAACGGCCCAGTATCGTTCACGCCCCCCTTTAGTCCTTCCAGGCTACGCCCATTTCGAGGAAAGATTTGAACCAGGAATTGTGAGTGACGTAAGCTACCGAGGAGCGGGGGTGGAGAACCACTTAATGAAAATGATTTCAATCATGGTAGTCAAACCTTACTTACCTTCTTTGAGCAGTTCTAAGACGGTCATTGGACTTCGAAGCTGATCTATCGGTTGTGTCTTCTGACCATTGTACTCGGGACGAGCTCAGCAGCGCGGTTATGCACAGGGGGGGCTGGGGTTTGGGGGGCTGGAGGATGGCCTCTGTCTGATTCTGCGCTTCCTCTGCTTTTCTGCCACACAAAACATAAAGGCATCATATTTATTGTGTCTGTCTCTTATTTCTTCTTTTGCCCCAAAACCTTTATGAATTGTCCAATTCATTCTTGTTTAAGTAACATTTTGGTGACAAATCTAACCACATACATGCTGTCTTCATCTATAGAAAACAATGCTGTCTTTTACCATACTGAGAGCTGATTGGCTAGAGAGTACTCTCTTTTTTCACTGAAAAAGCTTCTATTAAAGGTGTGAATGAGGCCCAAAAATCCCTTACTGTGAAAACGATCAATGGAAGTAAAGAGTTTTGAGAGAGAGAAACAATAACTATGGATTATTAAATTTTTTGTGGTTAAAAGTTTGGATATTTTAGTTTTATTATTTATTAGGATCACTTTTATTTGGGATTCTTGTTAACTTTAGCATACAATAAATCCAACAGTAACTCCATGAGTCATTCCCACTCATTGTTACTAAGTCCATCGACATAACCCACATCATGTGTCAGTCTGCCTTCACTTTGGGACATGTCCGGCTGGTGCTCCTGGGACTCAGTGCTACCCTGACAATGGCCCTTGGTCCGGGGACGCACCCAGAAGACCATGTTGCTGTGCTGCTGCTGATGTGGGTGAGGTTGGGCGTTCTCACTTGGTGCCTGCTTTTGGGAGCACGGGCTGGGGGGATGGCCTTGTCTGTGAGGGGGTAGAGTAATGTGATGCTTTCGGGGCTGAGTGTGTGTGGGCACTGGGAAACTTGGCACTCGTTCTGGTATACCTGGGGTGGAAAAATTAATTTAGAAAGAATATTAAAGAGATCTAAAAAAAAAGAATTATAATTTACTTCTCTAATTAAATGTGAAAATGATTTGTAGTTGGATTGCCTGTTGTTGTCTTGTGTTGTGTTGTTCGGAATAGGGACGGGAGTCTCACAACCACTTTATGTAGAGTACAATGTTAATCAATGTGATGGACAAATTAACTTTTGAAGAGATTGCAATACAGAGATGGTACTACATACACACACTAAATAAATGAAAAAAAAATATAAAAAAATACAAACATTTTATGAAGGGGGGTTTTTTTACAAGTATGTTTTAGCTATCTGCTTAAAGACTTTGTATAGTAGCTGTGATAAATGGGGGATAGTTTAGAAGGGTAGAACATATTACGTTTCCTACTTTCCATCTGAAGGTGAGAAGTATTAATGAAAGCCATTTGACACAATGTATAAAAAAAGTCTTGGACACACCTTCTCATTCAAAGATTTTGTTTTTATTTTCATATTTTCATTATTTTCACTATGATAATTGTTTTGTAGATTCACACTGGAACGCATTCAAACACTATGAATTAATCATGTGGAATTATGTATGTACTTAAGAAAAAAGTTTGAAAAGAACTGAAAATATGTTTACTATTCTAGTTCTTCAAAGTAGGCCCTTTTGCTCTGATGACTGCTTCGCTCACTCTTGGCATTCTCTTGGATGAGCTCTCAAGTGTAGTGATGAAAAAGGTCTCTCAATGTCTGAAGGAGAGCCCTGAGAGGCTTAGCATTTGTTGGCACTTTCACTCTTCCATCTGGGTCCACTCATCACAAACCATTGGATTGCCTCCACAGTCTGGGAATGTGGCGGACTGGTCAACTAGCCTTAACGGGCTGAGAGTGAATCTACAACTATTGAATGACAAAGCATCCAAACTTTTTCTGGTCTGTACTGTATATGTCTGTCTGTCTGTCTGGTCTTGGACGTAGTTCAGTGATTCTCAAAGTGTGGTACGCGTAAATCACTTGTCACGCGGCGGCTCCCTCTAGTGGGTATGCCAAAATGATAAAATTTAAATATATATTTATATTATATATATATAAATATTATATATTATATATTAATCTTAGGGCTGTCAAACGATTATTTTTGTGTTGATTAATCGGCATTGTAATGGTGAGTTAACTCACGATTAATCGCATTTTTAACTTCTATTTCAAATCCACTCCATTGAAGTTAATGAGATTTTCACTGTAATGGACACAGTTTTTAGTCATACCCCAAATGTAATTAAAGATAACTAAACACCAAAATCAACTTTTTTTTACTTATACACTGGCCTAAATATGTTTCCTATAGTGCTCACCTAATGTCTCTGGCCATATATTTGACATTTTAATCCAAAATAGTTAAAATCTCACTTTTGAGCCTAAAACCGTCTGTGTGGCGCCTCTCTATGGTTTTCCGTGTCACTACAATTTGGGAATTTTGTTCCTGGACTCTCATTGGCTCTTGAGTTCCCTAGTTTTCTGTGACGCAGGGTCTTCCCGAGCCTCTGCTATAAGTCTGTTTTGACTTGTCACAACCTTCTACTTTTGGGCTACAACCAACAAGGAGTTGACACGTAAATGGCAGTTAATGCGTTAATTATTTTTATTTACGGCCGTTATGAAAACGGTTAGTAACGTGAAAATAACGCTGTTTAATTTGAAAGCCTAATATATAGAGTATATATATTTTTTATATTATATATTATGATTGTTTTACTTTATTTAACCAGGAATGTCCATTGAGATTAAGGACCTCTTTTTCAAGGGATCTAAATAAAAGTCAATACTATTACATATTACTTGACTGTTGTCCAATAGAAGGCTATCCTGTTGTGTATTTCTTTGGTTTCTGTTACAGCTAACTCGGTGGTGCAGGAATAGTACAGTTTCATCTCTGGTTTTGGGAGACCGGAAGTGGCTCAGTTATGGGGACGGGGGACAATCTGAGATCTCATTTGGTTTTCTTTGGGTCGTGATAAATTAGTTGAAGCACTCCAAGCGGAGTTACCGATCTCTATACTACTGCTATAGAGATAGGTATGGGCTGGGGAGAGGAGGTCTGCCTTGGTTGATGGATGGCTGCGAGGGGAGGTCACTGGAGTACCAGGGGTTCGTCCAAGCAAGTGTGGCTGCTGCGTTTAAAGAGTCTGAACCGCCTGAAAAATCGTTTGGATCTCAGGTAACGGGTTTAGGCAACGTCTTTATGCAGGGGTAAAATGGTGTTAACCAAAGCATAATTGAGCGCCTTTTGGCAGTTGTCTGAGCTCCACTCCTTTCAGCCTGGTGATCAAGTGATGGCCTTTATGTCCTATTTATAATCATCAACATTACACGCAAAATATTACGGTTACGGTTCTTGAAAAACATCTGAACAAACTATTTGATTTGATGCCGAAGCGCAGGAAGAGGACACAGAGGTTGGTGGTCATGTCAACTATTGGAACATTTTCAATGTCAGTTTCAGTTCAGTTAAATAGTATGCCATTTTGCGCAATCATTGCGGCTAGGGCGTTTTCCTTCTTCTTGCTTGCCTATCACTTAGCGGTGTTGGCGTGTCCAGCATGCCGAATAACACGGGCAGAGGGTAAGGATCCTCACCACCACCGTGCTAAGCCACACCGGACAGCACATGGTAGAGAGCCTTTGGTCCCTGGGAGCGTATTAGACGGCTGGACACTAAAATCCCCACAAAATCCGATCTTTAATAAAGCTGTAGGTTCTCTGTCAGCTGAGGTCCCGCTGTTTTAATTTACATTGAGTTCTATGGGGAAAATTTCTGGGTAGCCCACGTGAATTTAGTCTGGTTCAGTCTGCAGTACGGAGAGAATCCCCCGAGCACATGAGTTATTCAGCTACAAGCTAGTAATACCCTATCCAGTTATTATAATAGATCCATGGTTTGGATAGGGAAGTCTCTGCTTAGACTGCTGCCCCCGCGACCCGGCAACGGATGAAGCGGAAGAAAATGGATGGATGAATGGTTATCTAACAGGAAGTGACAAACTGGAATTGGGTTTTGCTCAATGTGCAAACATACAAGTAACAAAAATAGAAATAAAGGCATCAACAATCTGAATAAAATCCTATAATGTAATGAGGGTCATACCACACGTGTTGCTAAGATGGTTGCTAAGGCTAGCGGGAGTTTCCCGGTGCGAATGAAGGTATCTGATTGGTCAGTCCCTTTTTGGCTTATATCTGGATTTACAAAGACAACATCACAATATAAACACCAGGATCACAGAGAGAGCTAAACCACAGATTTAAGCCCAAAATGGTGAGTGTAACACAAACGGTTACTGAGCTAGCTACCTGATTGTCTTTGGTCCCCAGAAACAAAGAGAGAGCGTCATCTGTCACCTACAGTCTCTCTCCCTAAAACCATCAAACAAGGTCAGAAATCTAGGAGTAATACTGGACTCAGACTTACATTTTAATGGCCACATTAAATCAGTAACATCAGCAGCTTTTTATCACCTAAAAAACATCGCCAGGATCAAAAACATAGTGTCTAAAGCAGACTTGGAGATTCTTATTGTTATGTATTGATTACAACAGTAGGGACTACTTTCTGCGCACAGCGCATATGTAATGAGCACGTGGGTAGCGTACTGATATCTTGTACTTTGAATGACACCTGTCAAGTAAAGACGTTACTGAAGTCACCGGAGTTTCTGTATGTTCTTCTTAAAAGTTATGTAAGAGACAAACATAACAAAACTGGCGACGAGGATTTACAAGAACCCATAAAGGCCTCTGGATGAATAACGGCAAGTAAAAAGGGTAAAAATCTACTTGGTTTGGTGAGAGAAATTTTCGTTGGCTCACTCCGAAGACAAACTAACGGGAGGTGGGGACGAAGTACCGTTACAGTAATCGGACGCAATAAAGTGACAGAATGTCGGCATTTGTTGGACATATGGACACATTTGACAGTTCCGTGGAGGACCGGTCAATTTATGTTGAAAGATTTGACCAGTACTGCCTTGCTAACGGGATAGAGGATGAGAGGAAAGTCGCGGTTCTTCTGAGTCTCAAGGGAGCGAAGACGTATAATTAATAGTTACTTAATGTAACTTAAGTTCTACGAATAGGTGCGTAGTCCCTTAGGACTTCGCTAGTGGGATATCACTCGTGACCCCCAGGTCACACGCCAGAGAGATCAAAATAATTTGCTCCAATCACCAGCCACCTTCCTCTATAAATGCCCCTGCACAAGGCCGCACCCCCTCTTGAACTCTGCCAAGCCGGGCTGGCCTGATGGGCTCGTAGCTAAGGGACTACGCACCTATTCGTAGAACTTAAGTTACATTAAGTAACTATTAATTCTACGTCATGGTGCTACGTCCCTTAGGACTTCGCTAGTGGGACACAACGCGGAGGCCGTAGGAAAATGTACTCCCAGCAGGCCAGCGAAGGGTGATTGGAGCTCCGCCCGAGCAAGACCCTCACAACGTGAGAGGACTCAGGGCAGAAGAAACAAGCGTGTTACGGGGCCACTCCTACCAAGGATACCCCCACGTAACACAAGCCGTAGGTCATCCGTAGTCACAGGACGCCTCTACCAAGAGCTCCTGACGTGGACTACCAGACCGACCAAACACACAAAATGTACCGCACCTGTAGGATGCCTCTCCCAAGAGCTCCTGCACCAGGGCGGAAATAGGCCGAAGGCCCCCTCAGGGGAGGGACCCAACGGTCTAACTCAGTCCGCTGCACTCAGCACGGAATGGGCCACCGACCGGTCCGACACATCCGAAAGATAAGACCGGACGAAAGAGGAGGACGACGCCCAAGAAGCCGCACGGCGGACGTCCTCGACCGACGCCCCCCTGAGAAGGGCCGTAGAGGCCGCCATCCCACGCGTGGAATGCGACCTGAAACCCACCGGGGGGCACAGACCCTGCGCCTGATACGCCCGCCGCACCGCCGTGGCAACCCAATGCGCCAGCCGCTGAGCCAACAGCGGGGCGCCCCTGTTCTTGGGGCCCAGACACACAAACAGCTGATCACCCGACCTGAATGACGACGTCATGGCCAGGTAATGCCTCAGCATTCTGACAGGACACAGAAGGTGCTGCCGCTCCTCCTCGGGGGAGGCATGCGGCGGCGGATGGAAAGCCCTAATCCTGATGACTCTCGACCTAAAGGCCGACGTGATGACCTTGGGGAGAAAAGCCGGATTGGGCCACAATTCCACCATGCCGTCGTCCTCTCCAAAGGACAGGCACGACGCATGGACGGAGAGCGCACACAATTTGCCCGTCCTCTTAGCAGACGCCAACGCCAGCAAGAGGGCCGTCTTAAAGGCGATACACTCGGGACTCGCCTCCGCCGCCGGTTCAAAAGGCGGACCCGACAGCCCCCTAAGGACCACCCTGAGGTCCCAAACCGGAGGCGTTCTCTGGAGCGGGGGCCTCCTCCTGCGCGCCCCCCGCAGAAAACGTTTAACCAACGGATGAGAACGGGCTGTGAACCCCCCGAATCCGTCGTGACCCGAAGTAATGGCTGCCGCGAACACCGCCAAGGTAGCGACAGCCCTCCCCTTGTCGAAGAGCTCCTGTAAGAATCCCAGGACCCCCTCCAGCGGGCAACACCTGGGATCCCAGGAACGGGAATCGCACCAGACACTGAATAGCCTCCACCTCGTGGCGTAGGCCCTCACAGTGGACGGCGCCCTCGCTCCCTGAATGGTCTCCACCACCGCAGGGGGAAGACCCAGGTCTACGAGGCTCCGCCTCTCAGCCTCCAAGCCCAGAGCCTGCGGCCGATTATCGGGCGTGAAAACAGGGCTCCTGCCCCCTGGACTAGAGCCCCCGGCTCGTCCGGGAGGGCCCAGGGCTCCATTCACCGCCATGCCCCTCAGGAAGGGGAACCACCGGGCATGCGGACTGTCCGGAGCCACCAGGATCACCGATCTCCTCTCCTGTTCGATCCTCCGCAGCAGGACCGGCAGGAGACGCACCGGTGGGAAAGCGTACAACAGGCCCCCTGGCCAGGGGTAAGGAGCCAGAGCGTCCACGCCTAAAGGCGGCTCGTCCGCGGCCCTTAAGGCGAACCAGGACGGGCACTGTGCGTTCTCTGCACTGGCGAAAAGGTCGACCACTGGACGGCCGAACCTTAGCCAGATCTCCGCAGCTACCCGTGGGGCCAGGCCCCACTCGTCCTGGAGTGGGCCCCCCCTGGACATCCTGTCGGCTCCCACGTTCCGGACCCCCGGGACGTGGCGCGCCCTGAGAGACAGGAGGGGAAGCGCCGCCCACAGCAGCGTCACCGTCGCCATGCGATGGAGAGCGGGGGACCTGGTGCCCCCCTGCCTGTTCAGATAGGAGACCACTGTGGTGTTGTCTGAGCGCACCATCACGTGTCTCCCCTGCAGCTGAGGAGCAAAGTGCAGCAGTACTCTGTGCACTGCCTCCATCTCCAGCAGGTTGATGTGACGGGCTGAGTCCGACCAGCAGCCTCCTACAGAGCTCTGGCCGAGGACCCCGCCCCATCCTTCGAGCGACGCGTCCGTGAACACCTCGACGTAAGACACGGCGCAGGCCAGAGTCACTCCGTCCCGCAATAGACCCGGAGTGAGCCAGAACCGGATGTCCGATGCTGCCCCTTGGGGAACCCAGATCAGCCTCCCCCCGTCCCGGGAGGGGTGAAGCCTGAGGCGCGAGAACCACCTCTGAAAATTTCTCATGTGGAGCAGGCCTAGCCGCACCACAGCATGAGCCGCCGCCATCATTCCCAGCAGGGACCTGAGGCGCCGAGCGGGGACTCTGGGGCCCGCCAGAACCTCCCGGGCCAGACGGGTAATATTCATCCGTCTGTCCACGGACAATGCAGCACGGAATGTCACAGAGTCTAGCTGCAGGCCGAGATAAATCATGCGTTGGGCTGGCTGCAGCTTGCTCTTCTCCCTGTTCACCACAAAGCCCAGACGCTGTATGTGGGACAGGACCCAGTGCGTGTGGCTCACGGCCACTTCCCTGGATGAGGCCAGTATTAACCAATCGTCTATATAGGTTAATATTCTTACCCCTGCGCGTCTGATCGGCTCCAGAGCTGCTTCCACACATTTGGAAAAAGTCCGAGGCGCGAGTGCGTACCCGAAGGGTAGACGGCAGTACTCGTAATTCCTCTCTCCCACTGCGAAGCGCAGAAACCTCCTGTGTTCTGGTACTATGGGCACGTGGAAGTACGCATCTGTCAGGTCTATGGATGTCATCCAGTCTCCCTCCCTGACACACTCGAGGAGCTGCCTTGTGGACAGCATCCGAAACTGCCGTTTGGAAATGCACTCGTTCAACACGCGCAGATCCAGAATGGGACGCACCCCGCCTGACTTCTTTGGCACTAAGAAGTAAGGGGAGTACAGCCCCCTGGTGGCGTCCTGCGGGTCTACCTCCACTGCTGCGCCTCAACTCAGCAGAGAGGAGACCTCCGCTTGTAGTGCCTCTATCGATCCCCGTACCTGAGAGCGTGCTGCCCGTACGCCTCGGAGTGGTGGTGGCTTTTGGAAAAATTGCAGTGCGTAACCCCTGCGCAAAGTTTTCTCCAGCCAAATATCTGTCAGTAGGCCCTGCTCCCTCCAGATGCTGTAGAAGTCTGTGAGGGGCGGAACGGGAGCTGGAACACGA